AATGAAGTGCGCAAATGAGGTCGTCTGTTCTCTGTTAGAAATGTTATATCATGTTTAGGTTCGTAGGTTTGCACCGTACGGTGTTTTACCCAACTCATGTGTTAGCCTAGCCATTTTTCCCCGTATCGGTCGCTAAACTGAGCGGAAGGAGGACACACAAACTGCAGCCATCGCTACCGGACCCCGTCTGTATTCCCGGGACTAACTATAGGACGGGGGGCGTGCTAGCTCACAAACGGCCGAAAAGTTTAGGGCAAACAACTACACGGCCCTACAATCAAACGCAGTAACACTGTCCAAAATCGAGGGCGCACGCGGCATGACGGCCCCAACGATTCACGGCACAGATTGATGTATTTATTCAAGGGGAAGGATGATGCTGTGTGTGCTAACTGATAGTACCATGTCGTCCCGTGCGTACCGACACTCAATCTCACAACTGCTAGGAGAAACCATTGTCCATTGAGCGCCCACAGATGTTACGCCTGTAGAGAAGAGTCATCTGCAGAATAAACGTTCCACGATCCTCGTGCTTCTGTTCTGATTATAGTTCGTGTGGGTTCGGAGTACCGCGGCTGAGGCTGGTTTGCAGATAGGCTTAGTGCGCTTCTTGAGACACAACGGTGATAAAGTGCTTGATGGACAGTCCTGAGAGTGTCTGTTTGAATGAGGGTAAAATCTCATGGATCAGCCCGGAAATTAAGGTGTTTTCACGCCTGGATCTCGACAAAGAAAGTGCGAATATTGTGACCCAATAAGATGAGCCCAATAGATGATGGGCACAGAGTAGCCTGCGTCAAATTGTCTCGAATTAGCGTAGACGCAATAATGTATGACGAGAATTGAGATAACAACCTCGGATTTAGTGACAGCGCGGATAAGGTGCGGCCGTGCAGCAAGGTAGGCGGCTTTTGAGCTTGGAAGCTGAACGCTTCGCGGTATACTTTTCTGAACCGTATCCAGTCAAGTATACACAGGCTGATGGTTGGTTTCTTCACATTTGCATCTAACTTAATTACAAAGCTAAGCTATTGTACTCAAACTGCTCGTTGAGCTTGTCACCGTTTTGTTAATAACCATGACACCATAATTGCGTTAATGGGGCAGGCCGCGTTCTTATTGACCGACGAGCATATGACCTTTGGAAACGGTCTCTCCGATCAGTGTATCGTGACCTTTTTCCGTTCACCACTGCTACTGAAACTGTTGCCCGACACGTTTGGGTGGTAGACCTTGGATTAATTTCAATAGGTCCGCGAATCAGTACTCATAGGTAGGTTGAATTATTTTCCCATACCATGCTTCTGAGAATTACCTTGCTGGTTTCGTACTCCCATATTTTAGAGTCATTACGGTTGGCCGCTCAAGATGATGTACTTTACCCGTATATATGAAAACTAATGCACATAAATCGCGCCTTTTAATGATATTTTTGTGTTCCACGATTTGTGCTGTAAGTTTGCTTCCTGTTTGTCCAATAGGCAACAGTACAATTTAAACTAACAACATCTTTTATACCAAAGCTTTCTTTTGTCCGGTACAAACTTTGGTGTTTCGGGCAGACCTACACTACCTTGCACGCCCTCCTCTACGTCTGTCTCCGATTTTACCCACACACGCGACAACGGTGTTATCCTAGGCCTCAAGGGTCCAACTAGAACTAGCTGTGATTGCGCGATATTAGTCGACTTGGACCCTTATCACTAATGCATTTACCCATTGTGAACCACCAGTTTCCCTGCTTCTTACCGATAAGCTTTCATAAACGCCATGACACCTTTAGCTGTGATTGTCCTAAACATAGCTAATTCATCCTCCATCAAGTATATTTGAATCGCTTTGTCTCAAAAGTTCTCGCATATGAAACTTCGCAACGCCTGAAACTCGTCGCATGTAATGTGTTCCATTGGGTGTACCGTGCTTCTACTGCTATCGTTGGCCTTGTTCAGCGGGACTGATACTTAAACGTATAGTCTCTGTAAAGTAATTATAGATGCAGAGAATACTAGCGGTTTTTTCTGGTCTTGTTGGTGTGTATTTTGACTTACGTGTTCAGCCTGCTGCTGTGGTATTATGTGACCGATTGCACGCACTGCACATTCATTGGTATCATCATGCTACACCTTAGCTGGAGGTGAGGAAGACCTACTGTGTCGCAATAAAATAGAGTAGGGGATTGGAAAAGAAAATACAAAATAACAAGCGGTACGAAATACAAAATCGAAATAATCATTATGTTTTTAATTGTTATTATTCATCGACAGTAAGATCGTAGTTAGAGGGAGAGACAAAGAAACTCATACCACAAACACCAATGAGGTCGGCTCTCCGCCATGTCAACAAGTGTACCCAACAAAAGGTGCTCGGCGTTTTTCCGGAGTCGGGAAGCTCCAACTTGGGCCAACTACGAAGTGAGAGCCATCTTGCCTCTCAATCAAGCCGTCAGCTGATCCATGCTTCTCTTATTCCATCTACACTCCGGTTTCGCAAACAACACACGTTGCAGGAACCGGTGCGCTAGCATGAGCAACCCGTGGTCCAACCATCGCAGCCCGGTTCATGAAATAATAGTGCTGAGCGTTTCGCTCGCTCTTCCTGCGCCATAAACAAGACGTTAAACAAGTTCATTTAGCACGCAGTGTTCCAACGGAGTTTAGCTAAGCTTGGAAGGTCGAACGTAACAAGCCTCTTTCTGTCTGACTCCTTTAACCAAGCTCCACAAGCAAAACTAGGGACGAACGGACGGCTGCTTTGTAAGCACTGCCCTTCAAGACGAAAGATATGTTGCGTAGAAGTCACAGGTGAGGACTATTGGGAAAAGCACTTTGAGCTTTGGTTATGAGGTCTTTGATCTCATCACTAATTTATAGGCGTTGATACATCTACCCAGGTAGTTGAATTACTGAGTAACTTCTAGTAGATCCGTACCAAGGGTCAACGTATGGGTGGGTCTTCGCCAACACTGGAGAGTGGAAAGCACGGCCTAAAACTACTGGCAACCAAAGCTAACCTGTGCAGTGCTGCATAGCACTTTTGCGAACTGTCACAGACACGGGCAATGTCGTCGGCGTACTCCAAGTCCAGAAGTCCCTTACCAGGAAATAACTCCACACCATCTAAGTGGAGGCTGGTGAACGCATTTTCCATAACTTCTTCAATGTCAAAGTTAAAATGGAAGCTGACAGCGGGCATCCTTGTCTCACATCGCAGGAGATATTGAAAGACAGCGACAGTCTACCGTAAGCCCTCACTCTGCCAGAACAATGCGCGTAGAGTGCTCTGGTGATATTCGCGTATTTATCGGGCACACCTTTTCTTAGCAGACAGTCCCAAAGGGCACGTCGATTCGTCGAAGCGAGTGCACCTTTTATTTCGAAGACCGGAACTACGGTAGGTCTCTTATATGTATGGAAGCGCTTCACTAGTCGGCGCAGCTTGACGATGTGTCCAGTGTAGCTTCCATTTCGATGCAACACAGCTTGTTCTTCGTGAATCTGACTTTCATGGGTACCAGTCTACGACAGAAGACAGAGACAAGTATCCTAGAGAAAAGATTTGCGATCAAATTAACCCCCTAGGATTGTCACATTCCAAACATTAGCCTCCGTTGAAAACATTAAGGGTGAAAAGGCAGTTAACGCAGGACGAGGAGGATGAAAAGGACAGAAGGGGGAATAAGGCGGGAAGGCCTGAACAGTGCTATCCTCACCCCGCTTGATGTAGCTGGGAGAGCGCCATGATAATCCTATGCGACGGCCAGAGTAACAGGAAATTGTTTGAAAAAAGATTCATTGTATTACATAGGCCGGATACTGTCAGGTTATCCATGTCTAGACAGGAGAATGATCAAAATAGTCAATCAAAACCTCTGGTTCAAACCTGTCTGTAAGGCAACGGAAGTTTAGCACTGGACTACACAGTCCGCTTTAGGGAGTAAGGAGCCACTCCCACTCCAACAACCAGCCTGGAGGGGCACAAGTCTGAGTTTGTCATACCTTTAACCATTTACTAATCTAGTATGAATAATTCTGAATATGTAAAACGCACCACACAGCATAGCTCAGTGGATCGTTGAGGCCAATAAACCATCAGGCCACGTTAAGCTAAAAGCTCACAATTCCGTTTCTCCACGCCTGTCAAACGTTTTCTTTAGTCCGACGGGAAACGTCGTACGGGGATGCAACGATTGCTTAACTGCCTACCTTATCACCATAATTTCATGATTAAGGCCAGGCCTTTAAAACTGCCGTGCAGCTGTCACTGAACATCATTTTTACAATGGCGCTATGGATAAATTAGTTTTCTCAGAATATTTTTAACCTTGATATTTGTCAAGCTATTTCCAAGGTCACCACTGCTGTCTTTCGCGGAAGCCTTGAGAAAGATCCAAGGTACTGCGCACGTGAAGATGAACGGTCTCGATTGAAAATCTGGTTTGCAACACTGCCTTTAAATTATTTAGCCCGGAACTGTATAGTTGTTGCTCTTTTACACTGATCGATTGTTCAAGTGACACTTCTAAACAGTGTCCTTTTATCCATCCCTACAAATTTAGTTAATCCCTTGTCGATATTGTGAAGGGTTGAAAATGTACCCAGCTGGATAGATAAAGCTTATTTTTGACTTGTCTTGATATGGACACGCCATTATCGATGTATCTTGTTGTGTTTGTGACTATTTTGACCCACCGCATCTCAGTAGACTCACTCATGTAAGTAGCCAGTTATCGCCAGCACTCAGATACTACGTCTGCATGTAATTTGGAAATGATAGGGGAGAGATCGATCGCATGGTGATGGCACGGGTAATTGTATTTTGTTGGAAGATGGTATTATGGGTTTACATTTTAAGTACAAGACGTTTCAGCTCCTGAGGGACGTTGGTAAAAATAGCAGTCCGACAACTGTCGCCTAGTACTCTAGGATAATGGTGTTAGAGGGAGCGAACCCTACAATTCAATGCCATTCCAAGTAACAGACGTCGGTATCTCTGAAACTCACCTTGAAAGGGAACATCACGATGGTGGTGAAGCAAGCCAGCATCAGATATTGAAATATGTGAGTGGAAAAGTGTGCTCCCCAGTAGGCCCATGATTTCATTCCGTAAAGATGTAACTGTCCCAAGATCCGAAGCTGGCATATCGGATGAGTAAGAACACGTGGTCAGTGGGAGCGCATTCACAAAAACAGTGCAAAACAAGTATCTTCCCTGTTTTATACTCCATCAAGATGCTTCTGGACAACATATAAAAACGTGCTACTTATGGAAACCGTAGAACGTTCACAAACTGGGCGTAACACAAGCATATATATATATATATATATATATATATATATATATATATATATATTCCAGTTTATCCGGTTTGCACAGTTCTGTTATACTGACGCATAATCCCTGTCTATTTTACATATTTATTTTCCCTCAACTTCGATGTTGTTTGTTTCATATCCCCAGTGTGGCTGCGCTTGATATGAATGTCGACAAGCTGCCAGATTGTTCGATCTTTCAGGTCGCACGTCGCTACCATCGCCAATTCTGTGCTGTGCCCCGGCTTATTAGATGCTTCTTGTTACCTAGAATCTATCTATCTGCACGGTTTTTTTTCAGGTTTTTCTTTTTCTTTTCGTGGTTTGCTTGGAAAGCAAAACCGCAATTTTAGCGAAAATTAACGCAGGGTGTTATTTCCGGTTTTTCGTACTTTGCAAACTGTTGAGGATATCGCATTTATTTTGTCAATATAAGGTAGAGCGTCCCCTGTTTGCTGCGTTTAGCTTGTTTGTTTTTAGTTTTTTCTCATTTTTCGCCCTGGAAAGCTCTTTAGGATGATAGTCCAATTCGTTCTGTCGACCTCCAAAGTCACTCACTGATTTAATGTATGAATGGCATACTGAGTATCTTGTGCATGCTTAAAGAATTGCTTTATCTAGTTGCATTATATTTCGCTTAACATATAAAAATTGATGTCTAGTCTTACGATTTTTCGCCTTTTGCTACTGCATTCATTTGTTTTATTTTCCCCCGTTTAACCTAATTATCCTGCTCTGTTTACACATTTATCGGGAGATTGGTTTGGCTGCTTTAGCCATCTGAAGAAAGAAAATGAAAACGCGCTTCTGTAATCTGGATCGTGGTTGGAAAACGCAAACGCACAGAGTAGACAAACTGCAACCTAGCATTCACAATGCCAGCGTTGTCATCTGCCCGTTTGGAATCCCACAGTTACAAAACAGCTGACAAATAACACCTGAAAACCTCATGCATGAGCATGACGCTTCTGTACATTTTGATCTGGCTCTCTAGGGTTCAGTCTCTCTCAGAGGAGGATATACACTGCTTCTTCTACCTGCCTAACATCCTAAGCCTCTAGTACGGGCTCCAGGAACCTGCTAATATTTACTGGGGGAGCGGGATGAACGGTTCTCGTGATCGAGCTAATCTCAAACGTGGTTTCATCCAGTGTGGAGCGGACAACGGCCTAGTCACCGCCTTGCGTGCGTTTGGTACGTATGATTACCCCTACATAGATGGACAGGAATGTTGCTGCTATGCATGTTGAAGGAGTGTAAGTCGGCTTCTTTGCTAAAACTTTGTTCCCATCCACATGCCGTCCGGTTTTATTCTTTCGGGTTTACACTGGATATGGGGTGTGTGGATGAAGCCGTGAGTGGTGCAGCGCAAACCACCCATGGTCGCTTTGTAGTCACAGACTTCCTGTGGTTTTTCTATGGAGCCACAGTGATAGGTAGTTACTTTTCGACCTTCTGTGAGGACTTGTAGCGAACAAGAAAATTTCCCGTAAGATTGTCGTAGGGAGTGCAATATTTAAAAAGCGTTAACCACATTTATACCCAGGATACTTGGGCAGTTTGTTCGCCAAGTGTTGACCACTTTTACTCATAAACATCCATTCGGAACGCGACCCGAACGCTGCCTCCGACGCTCCCCGAACCTATTTTTCTTTTCTACGTTTGGTTGCTCCTCAGCCTAGCGAGGTTGTACGTTTCAGCAATCAACGTATACCTCACCAACTTATATTTGCCATTTTACTTTTCCATACGATCGGTTGGTTGGTTGTGTGAATATAGCGTCGGATTATCGATTGCCCCGTGCACTTTACCAACGAAAGGGGTAACCATAAACGCCTCAGTCTGGAAGGCGTCATGTCACAGCTCGACCCCGGCAAGGAGGCAAGGTGCCTTAAACCAAGCAATATGCGATTAGGATACAAGTAATTCACGAACTGGGGTGAGGACTTCATTGGTCTGTTCCACACAGGAGGCGTTTTATTCAGAGAAAGTGTTCGTAATTTACGAAAAGATGAAACAGCGGTGGCTTGCCGCTCGGTGCAAATAATTTTTGGACTCTAGGTATGGTAATTTGACTGTGAAAGTAACAAACCCAGATAAATAAGACTTTCAAAGCCGAGTCGTCACTTGATTAAAATCACCAGCTTTTAAAACCATTAGAACAACGGTTGACTTGAATGGCGTGCATTTTCCAACAACTTAAACCACCAAGCATGGATTCAAGCGCTGCGCTCGCTAGAGCCCTGATGGTGAAGTAAACCGGTTCCGCGCCATCCTCCAATGACTCCGGTTAACTGAAACTAGAAAACATACCGAAGCAAACTGTTGGTCTTAGTATCCAATCCGTTCCTATTCTTGGTGCAATAGAGCAGCATTCGTGCGAGCAATTTCCCCATTCAGTTCCCCTTCCTAGTCACTACTGGTACCAATTGCTTACGAACTTATCGGAAGCTATCATCATAAAGAGAAAGCAGGGTATTCCATTAAGATACTATTTATTCGCACAACATTTAGTTTACTACAGGGAAAAGCATATATGAAGGGACTGGTCTATGCAAATGTACTCGCATCCAAACGGTATAGTCTGAAACACCAGCCTATGTTCCATACTGCAGAAATAACAGAAGCCAGCCGTGAACGCCTTGGCAATGAGACATAGATTGTACCTTCACCATGAATTTGACTTGCCGTAGGAATTCTGGCCTTATGACCAGAGTATTATATGTTTGATGTCATATTCTAGACGAATGTTGCATAATCGAGAAGGCATCTGTGTTTCGCGTGTGACATCCGTGGCCGCGTCACGCCTACAAGCTGACGCCAACCGGTTCTGTCACATTGTAAGTAATACGACATTGTCCACTATCAAAGCATAGAACCATATCACTCACCCACCTCTTTTTCACGAACAAGATCCCCAGCAATCAGCGGACTGAGGATACAGTAGGCAACGTTACATGCGATCAGGTAAATACAGGCTGTTCCTAGTTTCAGCTGAGGGTGTTTTTCCGGCCATTGGGACTCCCACGATGAAACATCGGCTATCCACAACGCTGAGGAGATATCCGGAGTTAACTGATTGTGGGAAGAACGGATGTAGATAAATTCGTTGGCTAATTAAACATGACGCGATAATGTCGGTCACCAAACTGAATACAAGTCGTTTATTGAAACATGTGGTGAACTGTCTAGCTCCGCCTGGTGCCATTCAGGTCCTGAAAGGAAACATGGACTATGAGAAAAGCTACAAAGATGGCTCTGATAAAAGCTATCTCCATAAAGGGACAGATCAGTTTACCTGCATGCGAAGATTCTTTTACACCTATCGGAGACCCTTGGTTGCAGTTAACTCCCGGCCAGGCAGCAACCCACACGTAACTAAGCGAAAACTATCCCGATAAGCTACTAACTAGATGTCTAGGTGTTGCGCGGTAAAACGTAGCTCAGGAGGCAAACCCCATCATCTGTAAAGTTCTCAGCTTACAAAGCAGTTTAGGATGAGCCGCGCTATATCGCTAGCAGCTATGGGGCATGGCAGTCCACTGTCGTCACCCATGGCCCAGATATAACTCGCTGACTTGTAAGAGTAATGTCATGGGTCCGAAGCTGGCAAGATCTGGTGGGCACAATCAACTGAGGAGTCCCAGTGGGATGAAACGTTAGTCCAGCGCTCCCGTATGTGCGGTAGCTTCTTGTTTGAATCTCGCTGGGAAGAAATCTCAAAAACACAATAATTCCCTCGACTACTCACCAATTATCAGTAATCTCCTTAGAAGCTTACATGCCACCTTTTTCGGTGGTGGCTTGCAAAGAAAGTCGTAGCTCTGGAGGATATCGCTATCCTCTGCTTGTTTATAACATGTATGACAGTGGAGAATAAGCCGTGCGACGTCGCAGTTAGACATAAGCCATGGTGGTCTACCGTCGTCACCCACGGCTAAATGGCATAATTCGCAAGCACGTAAAAGTTCGCACGTTTGTAACCATTCCAAATTATTGCTGTTCAACATGCTTGTGTGGTGGAAAACTCATGGTGGGTTGCTAGACAGCTGTAAATCCTCAGAATCTCACTATCAGTGAGTGTGCGTTGGCAGAAGCACACGGCTGTTTGGCCGGAGCTCGTGGCTGGCTGGTCGATAGTCGTTTTTCCTTTGGGAGGCCACACTTATGTAAGCTGTTGTTTCTGCGGCTCCGTGTAGGGCTCTGATCTATCACGAGGGCTCCTCAAACATCCGGCATCGCTCACTACATGTGAGTGTCTTCTGTTTCCAATTGTTGACTGTTCCCTATCCCTTTGAAACAAGCTATAATGCAACTCTTCACGTGTAAAAATGGTTACGGCGAAAGAACGGTATAATGCAGCCAACAAGGTCAAGGCTTGACAAGTCCCGTGGGATGGGTTGTGGGAATAATTTTAGTCTATTGTTTTACACAAAAATGAAAAACGCATCTGTGGACTCATCATATTAACTACGTTAACAAAAAAGTAGATTCGTGTACCCCGATTTCGTGGGAGTCGGTGAGTACAATGTTTGTCTGCGTCTTAGCGTCCCTCATTGAGGCAATCTTCAGCATATGGTCTCCAAACTTACATGCCTTAGTGAGCTTATGGCGGATATGCAGAGTTCTGTACTTGTCAGCGTTAAACAGAAGTATATTTGCCAATGACCATTCAAAATCGCGATCTAAGTCTCGTTGCAGCATATCATGATCTTCCTGACATCCTATCGCCTATCATCTCATGGTGTTAGCGGCAAAAGCAGGAAGGTTGACTCGATGACACGCGCGAGATCGTTATTGAAGAACAAGAATAAGCGCGGCCCCAACAGTGACCCTTGTGGAACATGGCATTCCACATCAATTGGATTAAAAAGGAGTTCCGAACTCGAACATAAAGAAGCCTCTGAAGGAGTAAATTTCCGATCCATTCAAGAACTGGGTTCCCGATCGCGTAAGCTTACAACTTTTGTTGAAAAATGTGGTAATCTAAGCGGTCGAAGGCTTTCGGAAAGTCGAGGTAGATGACATCAATGCTGGTCCCACTGTCGGCTATTTTGGTCCAACCACCACGGGCAATCAGTAAATTGGTAGGATATGACTAATGCTGACGGAATCCGTGTTGTTCTTGTGCTATGATGTTAGAACTTCCAAAGTACCTCATTAGAGTCTCAGATACGAGCGATTTCACCACCTTTGGGAGCAGCGGGGGGAGAATCACTGGGCGATAGTTGGCGGACTCTTAACGGCTGCCTCTTTGGAAATCGAGGTGATGATGTCATGCTTCCACATGTTACGGACCAGCTATTCATTCAGGCATCTTTAGAAAATTCTAGTTACTAGCTCAGCTATCCTTGCAGTTGCCACCTGCAGAGCTTTCAGTGGAATGTTGACAACTCCGGGAGAACTATGAGTGCCCAACCTTGGTAGCCTCCTCAAAATGGTCGCTGAGCTACAAGTGACGTGCGTAAATACTAGCGTCTGGGATAATGTGACAGATGTGTTACACATTTTGGTAACACGTCGGAAAAGTGGAGCATATTGTAGCCATAGAACGTAGGTCGCCTCCTCGGCGGTTACAGCATATTCATCAACTGATATTAATGGGGGAACACCATGTTTCACACTCCGGAGGCTGTTGACTTGCCAATACAAAAACGTTTCGTTAGCAAAAAACCCTGCCGCTAAGCCCTGCTGATGTACTAATTTGTTCCCAGGGACAAGTGTGGTACAGTAATTACGCTGCACTGTATAGTTGCTCCAGCTGTCTGGACTAGGGTTCGCTCTGTACGCATGCCACGCGATGTCACTTACTGTCATGTGTTTTCGGGTTCTGCTCCGAATGAATGATGTTGCCCATGCAGAACGAAGGGGCCTCTTTACCGATACGGAATTATTCAAATCACTGGACTTGCCAGCAAATTCCATCCAAGTAAAGTTAATAGAGCAGTGGTCCGAAAACTCCCAGCTGTCATCAACAAGTTCTGTTAGGATACTGTAGTGTGTGCTTTTTTGAGACGTCCCCATGTTCTTGTTGATATACCACATAACACGAAAAGTGAAAAATAACTGTTACGTGGTCACTCCACTCCAGAGGGTTCTGCATCATTGGTTCCTCAATCATGAGCTGTTCGTTCGTGAGCACTAAACTAATCAGTTGGTTCATTTCCCGCTCTGAATCAGGTAGGCCAATTGATATGGTTGAAGAGCGGAAGGCTTCTAATAAGCTCTTGCAGATCGGCCTTAAATTACTCATTGCGGGTGCCGGAACTTCCACACCCTGGATATTGAATTCGTCTGAGATGAGAACAGGGTTGTATCGTCGTCGTAGGACCGTTCTCAAGACTAATGTCAGGTGGGATTCCATCACTGTGGTGGATATTGGGGACGATACACAACGGCCAAAAGGCAACTGTCGTGGATTCTCAGTCACAGACTGCACCAGAGTGAGTCCATGATCAGTGTGTCCGGATCGTCCACCGGTTTGCACTCTAGGTCGATATGGCAGTATAACATTACCCTTCCGCGCCCTCGCTAGGGCGATAGTTTTGGAGAAGGGACATATCATGTATCGCGAGTTCGGCGTCGGTACTTTCTGGGTGTAAGCAAGTTTCGGTTCCGAAAATGAGGTCCCAGCCGTATGATGCCTGACGTATCCTCAGTTCGGCAAGCTTGTTCAGGAGACCATGTGCAGTGGTGCACATGCACGAAAGTTTCTCTGTTATTAGCAATTCATCAGGGGATGCGTGTTTTGTATATAAGATTGTGCCGAACGGTGAAAGATCGGCCACGAAGCGCTTTTTGGTTGGGGCGATGACGAACTAATCTGTGTCAGACCCATGGATTCCACCATCACCTCTTCATCTCTCTATGTAATGTGTGTTTGTCGGTTTCGTTGGCTAGCAGATTGGAGTTTTCTAAATTGTTGTCGGGAAGTGGTTCGACTAATTGGCTGATCCAGTGTGTTTGCCTAGTGGATGATGCTTTAATCTGGAGAGTCCCGCTTACCAGCACGCCAGCACCCTTGTTGACATTTGTCTAGATTGGAGGCTCAATTTCAAAATCTTCGGATCACATCCTTTAAGGTTTGGCGATCTGTGCAGCCTCGAGGTCGATTGCTCCACGACCTTTACCAGGGAGAGGGTCTCTCGAATGTATCGCCGCTGTTCCTGGCTGTAAGTGGTCGCTTCGCGCTCATCATGACCTCCAATCTCGGGAACACCGTGTACAAGAATGGCTCTGGCTGCGGATTCCTTCCGGTATATTTCCAAGTCGTGCTTTACCTGTTTTCGCTTGCTCCACGGAATATCTGGGAAGATGCAGATGGAAACTGACCCATTCTGGAGGCATGCGGTTGATAACAGGACGGCTTCTGCTTCATTGGTGGAAGTCAAAACAACACGGAGCAGTCTCGGTTCATCGTAGTGCTTTGAGTTTGATTGACGGGTAACGCGTGTCATGTTGACGGGCTTAGCTACAACACCTATGATGTAACACGTGGAGTTCCAATCGTTAACATCATCGACTTGATTACCTGTTAACGAAATTGAGGTCGACTCTGGAGCGTCGCTGCAAATTACCGCTGGAATACTATGTGCAATTCGGATTGAAGTCAACCGCGCAGCTGGTCTGTATACAACCGCTGGAACCTGTGTAAGCACAGCTTCGTCTCCTTCATTTAATTTGGGCTGTGTGAGCGTGGTCGAAGGTATAAGTTTCCGGTTGCCTTTGGCAGTAAGCAAGTCTCAGTCTTCACTAGTGTCGACCTCCTACTAAAATTTCGGAACAGTTTGGAAGGTGGAGGAGACCCGGACTCTGATCGGACTGACAGTGGTTATTTCAGGCGTATTTGGGAAACTGGTGGTATTGAGGTTAAAAGCAACGGGTGACGCATGTTTTATGCCCTCCCCAGTCTTCTTCCCTATCTTAGATGCGGAGCCTAATGGGAATGATTGGGATTTGCTCTCCGTCGCGCTTGCTTCAAATGTATGGCTTATGGTGTTCCTCATTTGTTCAATCATTGCCACCAATCTTCCGTGCTTCTGCGATAGTTCATGTGCGATGGCGATGAGGTTAAAATTCCTAAAAGACTTATCAGAGTTCGATAAGAGTGCATAAGCGTTTAGCTGCTCATCGCTTTAGTGGATCACCGTAGACTATCTTTACCTAACATACATACAACCTAAGTTAGTATTTTCTCATAGTTGGCTCCAGCGGGCCGTAAAGGAAACCAGGTAGCTGGCGGCGCAGTAACTTCAAACGTGAGAATAAAAGTTAGTCAGCCTCACCGTTGTGATCTAACTGCAAGAACCATATGATGAGCGCCTTTGTCCTGACCTTTGCTTGTTTGAAATTACGTGAAATCTCATGATGCGTTAGGCTGAGAATATAGTAAACCCAGCTGGCCAGAGGCACACGGCAATTAGCTGAAAGCTGATTCGAGTTGGATCGCTTTAATCGACTAGTGGGTATCACGGAAAGTTAAATAATAACTACAGCAGACCGGTTGAATTATTTTGTTTTGCTGGTTACTTATCTTTGCCATGCAAACGTTGGGATGTCAATAGTTTTGGACTGAGAATAGTTCTACGATATGTTGGCATTTTTTAAGGGCAATTCCTTGAGCGATTTCAACGTCGAGTGTTGGGTGTAAGTCACTGCTCGAACCTGAAGACTACCAAACAAGAAAGAATCTAGTCATAGTGTACAATATTGGAAGTGGGCAAATTTCAGAACTCTCCAAATAAAAGATACCTTGCTATACCAAAACACAGATGTGCTGATTAAATGCGCTTGGTCTTATATAAATCTTTGGCATTTACCCAACGATAGAAGCCAGATAGGGGAAATTTAGAAAAGGTCGCTAGATCGTCAAACCGTGAACGTATGAACTAAACAGGAGTAATTAGCTTACCGTCCCCTGGGACTTTAGGCTTCTTGTGTGCATGCAATTCCACAACGCCGTGTGATGGAGTATGATTTGCTGACAGAGTCCGTCATCATGACGTCCCAGAACTAGGGTGATGTTGATCCAGTCGGTTTGCTGCGGGGTAGAGAAAGATGCTCCAAAATCAATGAGATGAATGTATCGCGAAAGTTAACAAAGGAAGCTCCACGGGCGGCTTCCAAACAGTATAATGAAATCATTTTCATTGTGGTACTACGTGAGGTAAATAAGTATCGGCAAGAATTCCAAAATGTAAGCAGTTGCATGCGGTGAAAGAAAGTTATTTGTCACCGAAGCAGCATGAGACATTTGATTTATAGCAAGGCACCACTTACATTTGGTTTTCTTTAAAGACCAAGGGACAATTCTTCTGTTCTAATTAGACGAATAACTCATCGTGGCGAATTAAACACTTCCTTGATAACAG